CCCCTCGAGCAGTGGTTTTCCCGCCTTAAGGACACCCGCAGGTGAGCCTTAAAGGGGAACTGTACCTAAATTATGAGGTAAAAATGTTATATATATTCCATGAAAGTGGGAGCCCAAATAAATTGGGGCCCACTTGAACATTCTAGAGCCATTAATCACTGTTAGCACTAAAGTGATGAGCGGTAAAAGCTTTTAAAATGTACCCTATGGGAAATTGTGGGTATTGAAGTTTTTTGCGCCTCCACATTTTTGGTATCTATTTACCCGGCACGACCCCAATATTTTGGATTTTACCAAAAAAATGGGTATTATATTCTGTTTCTGTGCACTAAATTTAATTTTAGTGTATTTTATCCTAAAAATACTGGTTTGATAAACATTTGCGCAAATACCATGCAACATAAAAAATTGCAATTAGCATTTTTTATATTCTACAGGGCCTCTGCTTTCCGAAAACATACAATTGTTTGGAGTTTGAAGTTGTTTTCCAGCCAAAAGTTCATATTTTATCATGTGTGCAAATATTAAGAAAATTGCTCTGGTCACCAAGTGGTTAACCTCTTGCCGTACGCCCGTAGTAGAAAAACGGACGGACGGCACTTTGAGGTTTTGCGCGCGCACGCAATTTTAAGGCTTGACATGTTTGGTGTCTTTTTACCCGACGTGACCCCGTCTTTTATATTTTACCAAAAAATTGGGTAATAATAAATGTTTTATCATTTAATATAGGGGAAACTGTTTTTTTTTTAAATGTCGGTGATTTTTCCTTAATATAGTAAAAAAATAAAAACCCCAGTGGTGAATAAATACCACCAAAAGAAAGCTCCATCTGTCCCCAAAAAAGGGTATGAAATTCATTTCAGTACAGCGCTGCATGACGGAATAAATGTCAGTCAAAGTACCGCAGCGCTGAATACTGAAAAATGGCCTGGATGGGAAGGGGGTTTAGCACCGCGGATGTCAACTGGTTAAAGCGTCGCCTATGGACAATTGTGGGTATGGTAGTTTTTTGTGTTTACATGGGTGAGTGCAATTTTAAGGCTTTACATGTTTGGTGTCTATTACCCGACGTGACCCCGTCTTTTCTATTTTACCAAAAGTCGGGTAATAATTGTTTCTTAAAATAACAGGTAAAACAGTTTTGTTTTTGTTTTTTTCAAAATATTCTGTACTTTTTTCTTCACATGGTAAAAATAATAAACCCCAGTGGTGATTAAATACCACCAAAAGAAAGCTTTATCTGTCCAAAAATGTTTTTTATAAAATGAATTTCGGTACGGCGTTGCATGACTGAATGTATATCAGTCAAAGTACTGCAGTGCTGAATACTAAAAAATGGCCTGGACAGGAAGGGGGTTTAACTCCCTGGTCTTCTAGTGGTTAATGTTCTCCTGGACAAAAAGCAATGATTTAACCCTTGCAGTGCTGGGGGAGCCCTACTGCAACTTTAGATTTTACCCAAAGCTCGGCTTTAATGGTGTATCAAGGTGTCTATGAACAGAATCCATAGAGCACAAAAACAAGCGGTAAGTCTGAAATAGGAAAGTTATTAAGGCAACTGATTATTGTCTGCGGCTTGTCGTTAGACATGAGACTACCACACATGGAGAAGTGGTGCCGCATGAGCATGAGATATTGCACAGTGTCACACATCTGTGTCTTCAGTCATTATGTCATCACATTTCAGTCTGGTCATATGCCTAGCGAGAGTTATGAATCATAACCAACACAGAAAGCACTTGCTGTTCATCAGACCTGACTAATCAGAATTCAGCTGTCATTGTTCTGTCCTCGGTCACACAGAAATAGGAAGGAAAGCTGATCTCTATGGAAAAAAACATTTATAAATGTGCCTGTAGTATATGCAACGAGCTTTGTCACATAGCACTGTGAAATCACTAAAGCTGGCCATATACCAGTAGAATATGGTTTAAAAAAGTTTGTTTTTGGAACATTTGCTCAATTTTCTTATAGTTAATGTGGTCAAATCAATGCTCACCTTCAACCAAAGTGGTGAACAAAAATCAAAGAAGCCAGATAAAAACATTCTAACAGTAAATGTGGATTTTGCTTGGTAAACTCCATTCATTTCCAAAATCAAAACTTGGAATCAAACAAAATTTCAAGCAACATTTGCCAAACTTCTGATGGCATTATCGAATGCTCCTGTACTCACTTTGGGCAGAATGCTCCCTGCATTCACATCTGTGCGTTGTGGTGCATTGAAGAGCAGTCACATTGCTTTGCACTCTATGTACCGTATGTGCATTAGGTACTGCTGGCAGAGCGCACTGCATGTTAATGTGCATTCAAGGTTTAAACACACAATACTGAGCATGTATAGATGTGAATCCAGCCAAATGATGCGGCCATGTTAATTAATGCATCATCACAGGCTCTGTTTTGTGAATGGAAAAGTGTACACAGGGGAAGAGACACAACACCAGAACTAGTATAAACCATAGCTGCCATGTTTTAATATTTTCTAGTTATAAATGTGAATGTGTACACATAGAAACCTTGTTTTTATCTACAGTTTTTTAATTATATATGAAAGGACACTTTAAAGCCTTGGTTCTCAACTGGTGGGTTGTGACCCAAAAGTGGGTCGCAACCCCATGTTCAGTGGGTCACAGCGTGCCTTCCACATTTCTAGATGAGAGGCTACTCAGCCTCCACCTTCCGCAGCACTGTCAGTTCTCACGCTAAAATATGCTGAGGCGGAGTGGACTGCAGCTATGGCCGCGAGGGAGCTCCATCCATACATGCAGCTCCCTCTTGTGTCCTGTAGAGGTGCCTGGACTGGAGTGACGTCACATTTTGGCTCTCGACACCTCTACAGGGCACAAAAGGGAGCTGTACAAACAATGCACATATGGATGGAGCCCTGTCACAGCACAGCAGCCCACATTGGATCCCAGACTGAGGATCCACTCCAGTTCTTGTAAGGAAGGGAGACTTGGTGAATCTTACACACTATATATATATTTTTATGTGTGTTTGAGAATTGTGTATGTGGTTGTGTGAGTCTGTCAGTGTTTTTGAGGGTCCGTTCACAATAGTACAGTGCAATATTTGCAGAGTCCTGTGCGATTAAAGCACTGTACTATGCAATCGCACCTACCTCCTGATCTGATGCGGTAGGTGTTACATTGCCTGTCATTTGAATGGCATCCCAAATGCCCCTCCCACCCACAGTTCGATTGCAGTGCAACTTAAGTCATGACTTAATGGCCAAGGACAAATGTGGGTCCTGAGGTTACACCAGTTGAGAACCACGGGTTTAAAGCATATCTAAGCCCAAGAAGAAAAATGTCATATATTGGAGAGCTTGCCAGCTAACCAGGTATAGGAGATGCATTAGTTTTCCTTTTTTAGGCTTTTTTTCCCTTTGTTTTCACCTGGTTATTCTACTATCAACATACAGTATTTCCTGCCCTATGATGACGATGCTCACTCTTCCTGCTCAGAGTGGCTATAAATACACCATGAGAAGTTGTAATCCTTTACCACTCCGCTAATCAGGCCCGGCGCTACCGCAAGGCAAGTCAGGCGGCCGCCTGAGGGCGCTGCAGGGTGAGGGCGGAAAAAACAGGGCATTTTGACAAGTACTTGGGGGTTGGTTGAGGGGGGGGGGCGCAAAAATTCAACTTTGCCTGTGTTGGCAAAAATCCTAGCACCGGCCCTGCCGCTAATGTATTTGTCCCTAGACTGAAACACAAATGTGACAAAAGCTCTAACCCGTCCCTTCTTTATCTAAAATAAAAGGTTTTGGCTAAACTTAGGCTTTAACATGGAAGATGAAAAATTAGCATGTTAGGTTGATTTATTTACTAAAGCAACATTAACTCAGACTATAGACTCTTATGCAATGTGTCATCCTCTGTTTAACTGTCATTTTCAGTTTGTTAAGTTTAGTCCAAACATGACAGATTTCGTCATACAGTCTTGGAGCTTCAATGTTGCATTGAGACTAATGCAGGTTTTGAGGTGCTTAATGCATAGTTCTAGCATAACTCTCAAATTTGTGATACTGGAGCAACAGATACAATGTCTCTATAAATGGTGGGGTCTTCCCACCACTCAGTCCCACTAGTGCTCAACCTTTGGTGCCATGGTGCTCATATTTAGTGATGAGCTGAACACCCCCGTGTTCGGCTCGAATACGAACTTTCGAACATGGGAAAAGTTTGTATTCAAACTCCAACTCAATGCAAGTCTATGGGGGTAGAACTTTGAAAAACAATTGTCCCCATTTTGCGATGCCGATCTGCCCTGGAACAGCGGAGAAAGCGTTGGAATTCTTCACCTATTCCACCCCCGAAAAACTGGGCGAGATTACGTTAAAATGTGTGACCACGTCACTGGTCACACATTCTAACATAGTCTCAAACTTTGATAGATCACATGCCTACCTGTAATCATTTAATCAGAGAAATAGATTATAATAGGGAACATTACAGTGTAATTTTCCCCATTATAATCCACTTGTCTGATTACATGAAATAGCAGTACACAATCTATACTAGATTTTTCTTGTGGTAAGGGCTACACTTGAGGTCCTCTATACCCAGTACGTTGACCTAGATTTTTCTCATCTTTATAGCCAGAAAAAAACAAGCATCCAATCAGTATGTCACACACACAGAACACATTATCATCTATGTAGTCATCTACAATAGTCAAGATCACCAAAATTAAATGGACAATACAATCACATAGAAAAAGTTAGAAAGTTAAGAGGGAAATTGCGATTTTGGTTCAAAATACTACCCTTTTAAAAGAGAGACCGCCGCCAGGAGACCAGAACAACCATTCTGAAATAATAAGCAGTTTCTGTTTCTTTATTCATTGAGAGGGGAATCTGAATATGTAAAAAGATTCAGTTTTGGTTTTCCTTTAACTAAGAAATTTCCTTTCAGCACTGCAACTTCCGGAGGAGGAGGAGGAGGTGGAGGTGAGAAACCAAGCTATATATGATAATGTAGCAAGGTCTACATGCACATTTGTCAGTGGTCAGTGCAGGAAGATGCTTCCCCCCAGCTCTCTGTGCAGTGTATTGCTGTTTGTGGTTACATGTCTCAGCTACGGCGTGTTTTGTTCACGGGAAACATTGATTGACTGTAAGTATCACACTCTTTGTCTGTATAATTCCTAATGAAATCTGAAAGAAGAGAACAGAACTGCTTTTTGCTTTGTAAGTCTTCTAGGAATAGCACTGTAAGGGACAATGTGAAAAGCATAGTGACTCATAGCAACCAATCAGAAATCATCACTTATTGTTTTGCTCGCTCTATACTGATATGCAAAAGAAAAGCTGATTATAATACTCATTGCTGTTTCCACTGCCTTGCTATATAGGTTTAAATGTGTGTTAAAACTGTGTATTCATAGGGTAAAATGAAGGCTGTAGATTTGTGATACTCGGTGCTCATATAACAAGAGTTCACCTGACATCCTCAAGCTTAGTCTTCTTCTGGCTCTAACTGGAGCAAGGGGAATGGAGCTCCATGCAACTGCCTAAAGGGTTGATTGAACCCTACAGGGCAGGACCTGTCGTTTACAAAGAAGGCTGGAGATTTGTGATACTCAGTGATCATATAACAAGAGTTCACCTGACATATCCAAGCTTTGTCTGCTAATGGCTCTAACTGGAGCAAGGGGAATGAAGCTCCATGCAACTGCCTGAAGTGTTCTTTGAACCCTACAGGGCAGGACTTGTTGTATACAAAGAAGGCTGCAGATTTTTGATACTCAGTGCTCATATATCAAGAGGTCACCTGACATCCCCAAGCTTTGTCTGCTTATGGCTCTAACTAGAGCAAGGGGAATAGAGCTCCAACTGCCTGAAGGGCTGATTGTACCCTAGAGGGCAGGACCTGTCATGTATATACTGTAGGTGCTTGAGAATGGAAGCTTAGGCAGGTAACACAGCAGTGCCAAAAGGGTTAATTGGACTATTCAGGCTGTGTCAGGATGCTCCAGTCAATCCTGTTCCAAATGGAGCTTAAACCAGATGGATGGACAATTTTCAAATACCCATTTATCCGGGCCCTGTAGTGCTATTACACTTAGATGCTAACTGTCTGGTGCAGGTTGCTTTTTCCAGCAGTCTTCACAGTGGTTAATAACACCAGTTGCAAGAAATTACTGTAAAGGCCCTTAAGTCAAATACATACAGATGCCAAAATGTTTGCATTGCCTACCATCACTTTGCACAAAAACTAACCTTTAAAATTAACTAAAATTAATGACTATAAAATTCATCATCTCTCATGATGCAGTCTTCGTTAATTTTTAATATTTCCCCAGTTGACTTCCCAAGGGGGTTTTCAAGAAAATTGGAAGTCCCCTATTTGTTCACTAGCTCAGTATTTAGTAACTCCGAGTGCCTCCCACGGGGGTTTCTTAGAAATCTGCAATTACAAATTCAACCTGCTGGTGGACATTAGTGTTAATGTGCAACCTACAAAAGCTATTATACGGTGCACGCTAATGCTAAACTGTATTTTGGTGGCCCATCTTCAGTCCCCAAAAAGCTTAAAGTGGAACACCAGTGTGTTGTGAAAATTCCCACCATGCAGGGATTTTAATAAACTTTAGTGTAGTTTCTTTCCCTTCTATGCACTGAAGAAATTGTTCTTTGTTTCACCATCTTCTTTATTAAAATGAATATGAATGAGGAGATCTGCTTATATTTTACCACCCAATGCCGATCACTTCACATTTTAGACAATTACAACCATATTCTGCTAACTTTTACTTGCTAAAAGGACCAATAAATTGAATGCAATCTGCCACCAACAATCTTCTATCAATACTTTGAAATGAGCTAAGGATTGGTTGCAAATTGTCTTGAGCTGTAAAGGGACTAAAAACTAGTAAAAGCGGACCTTTACCCATATCTTTAAAATAACAACAAACATTCCTATAGAAATGGTTAGTAATGACAATCTACAAACACATACCTATAGATAATTGCCAGCTTTGTATTCTTTGCATACTTTATTTTTATTTTCTTCCCCAGTCTTCTGACAGTGGCCATGTTTACCTAGGGCAGATTACTAGCTCTCCTATTACTTCATGGATTACTGGCACATGTGACTAGACATGTGACTAGGACATGTGACCATGCACATCATCTCAGGGGAGGAAAATACCTTTACCTGAGATCTCCTGAGAATACAGATGAGATGTCCCTGCAATCCTCTGCGGATGACAAGGCAATCCCAGTGTGCATTGCTTTGGCAAACTGAAGTCCTTTGCACTTTCAAAGCAATAAGTGAATGCTCTGCAAGTATAAGTATTTCATAATCACAGCATTTTACACCTGACATGTCTATGTTATTATTAATCATCATACATGGAGGTATGCATTGGTAGAATTGGATTTTTGAGTGTACAGGTCCGCTTTAATATTTCTTATGGAGGAGAATCATTCAGGAAGAATGGGACCCCCTCATAATGGCTGTCGCAGGTATGCAGGCCTGGAAACTCAGGTGCAAACATCTGACCACCAGAGTCATCAAAATAGGAGATAAGGAATAAATGGAAATGTCAGCTCTGGGTGAACTGGCCATTTATTTATAGAAGTCAAGTTTATAAACTGAATTTCTTAAGATTATATTTTTGAAAGGGCCCTGTCACCATAGGGTTACTTGTATAGAACTACATACCTGTAAGAAAGGGGGCTCCATCTTTACCTTTCCGTGTCTTGAGCTGTCCCCATTGTCATGATACATATGAATGTACTAGGTCCTGCGGACCAACTTGCTTGTATACCTGTATACCCCTTGCACATATGCTATATATGTTATATTTTTTTCTCCTGTCTGAAATGAATAAACTTAATTTGATCATCTTTACCTTTCCAGCACTCCATTTCTTGAAATGTTACGACCCAACAGGAGTAACCATTGGGTGCAGTGGGGAAAACAGGTTAGACGCTGAGCTGAGCATAATCTGGTAAATAAACTTTATTAAACTCTCAAATCCTGGAAATAAATGAATAAATAAATAAAATGTCATGAAACCATTATAAACTCCCTGTAAGCTTTTGCCTTAGGCAGTTAAAATGCTAGCAGGTGCATTAAGCATAACCACCTTGACAATTCATAATGAAAGAAAAGTGTTCCATAGATATATATCCATATTTACTGAATTTGCCTTTGTGTTTTAGATCGCAGACCCATCACAGTTCAGATAACTTGCTGTACTGCAGTGTCAACGGCAAAGCTCAAATTTCCCATAATAAGTTACAAGATTCAGTCTGCAGCTAATCGCTGTGTCAATGCCATCATGTGAGTATTACATACTGTATGTTTCTGTAACTATACTATCAGTGCCAGCACCAGTCACCAAGGGCCTTATGTATGATAATGTGCTAACAAGAAGATGTCTTGTCATTTCAACAAAGCAGAGTTCAAAATGAAAAACTCTTTTTGATTAGTTGTTAATGTGTATCTAAACCCAAGAAAAAATTTAAGTCCCGGTTCACACCTATGAGTCGTAGGAACGTGCATCTCGCTTGCGCATTTGTCGTGCATCCTCATTGATTTCAACGGGTTCATATATGCGTGGCAAACGCAGCAAAAAAGCTCATGTAGTATTTAGTGCGTCACACGTTTGGCGGTTTTTGCTTTCGCGTTTGTTCGCATTTTCACGTGCACGAACGCAGAGCAAAATGTGCATCTTGCTGGCTGCGTTTGGGGTGCCTACAAAAATGAATGGCACCGCAAGCGCATTGCGCATTTGTTTGCATTGCACATTTGTGCGCATTTCCATGGGCGTGTGCTAACTTTGGCGCCCGTTCACGGAAGATGAAGGTTTGAACGGGGCTTAGAATATTGCAGTTTACCAATCCTTAAACATGGTGGCTGCATTGTTCTTTTTGGGTGTTTTTTCCTTTATTTGCACTTGGCAATCTGGTGAGTAACACATTTCCTGTCTTAGGGTGACTCCACTCTATAGTGAAGCCAATGGAGCCACCCTTGGACAGCAGCATTGTCACCCTGTGGAGAGGGTAGTGTTGTGTGGACTAGCAGATTTAGATGAACTATTAACTAAATCTGAACTCCAGCTAATACTTTTTAAGCAGTTTTTTTTCCTTTTGGGATAAAGGTTTTACATGAATAAAGCTGAACATTGTAAACACCCCTGTCAGTGTTAAAAGCTTTGCCTCAACCCTCTATCTACCACTTTTGCTGAACAGCTTGGCCTGTTAAATATAGTTGAAAAATCTGAGAACTGGTAAGCAATATATAACATTTTTGCTTTGGGCAATAATAAATGTTCGTCATGCTTTTCACACATTAGGGTAACAATACATGTTACAATCTGACCGTACAATCTTTCTACAGTCAACTTTAGATTTACCAAAACTATGTAACATGAGGACCTACCTAAGCTACCCACTTCAATTGTATCAGGAAGGTTCTAAACTAAATAGTTGCTGATAGAGCTAAAGAAGATTGCACACGTTTGTGGTGCGCTTACGTCTCTATGTGGGTCTGCATTGTACATGATTAAAGTGACATTAAACTCAGGAGTTAAATCTAAAAAATGAATTCAGGTGCCCTGACTATTAACAACAATGTATCTTATTTGTGTATCACTCGGCTGTAGTGACATTGTAGTCCATCACCGGAGCGAGCTTGGAGCATTTTATTATAACTAAACATTACATTTTTAGGTTAACCATTGTATCACAGAGAGACACAATAGAACTTTGTTAATATTTTCATTGCAGTTTGTTAATGAATCACGCCGTGTCCTTCCACAAACATTGGTTAATATTCAGTTAATTAAGCAAGTAAGTGGCAGGGGCTCAGATGAAGGTTTCCGCCAAGACTGGAAAATCCCTTTATTTTACAGTTTCCTGATATGTTAGTGCAAATGAGCTTTCAGAGACTGGTACAGGATCACAGGGTGAATATTGACTCCAGGTATTTATTTAAACATTCCAAGTTGGGACACAACACAATTGGAATAGGAAGTTTTGTAGTTGTGACTTTGAAAGAAGGACCCATGTGCCTGAAGGTTTTCAGGGGCTGATGTGAAATTTGTCTGGGCTGGTAACCTCAGTCAGTCCCATTTCATATGACAGCATTGCTAACCTGTAATCATTCTGCACTTGGACCCTGTCTGTACTTAGGTAATAACCAGTGCCGGGGGACACATTTGAAATAACCAAATACGACTTGACTTATCTGCCAAAGATATAATTTACTAATTCTGCACTGAATAGTCATTCAGTTCAGTCACATTTGTGATTCATACTCTTCGGCCTTTCACACAGTACAGTCAAGAGTGTGACACCACGTTTCCCGTAAGTCAGCATTCACACCTGAGAGGTTCGTGTACGTGCATCAAACATTCAGAAAATGCGTTTGCTGTGCCATTACCCGTTAATGGCACCCCAAACGCAGCTGGGCAAATCCCGAATAAAACTCAGAACTCATGTCGCAGATTTTGCTACATGCACTGCTTTTCTGCATTTGCCGTGTGTTCAGGACTCCATTGAACTCAATGGGGACACGCAGCAAACACGGAAAGCAAAATGCGCATGAACACATGTTCCCGCTAGGCTCAGGTATGAATAGGGCCTTAGAATTAAGGAATACAGTGGTGTGCTTGAACTCAAATAATTGGACATTATAAGAGTAGCAACACACTGATGAGTAATCTCTCTGCTCTCTCATCTCTCTTCCTGTCAGCACATTCCCTGTCAGCAGTAGGGAGCTGATTGGCAGTGACAGACTGGTTCCTAGAGGTGCCCCTCCAAGTGTTGGGGATAGCAGATGCTTATATTAAGAGAGATTCAGTTACCTAAGCTACTTATATGTACAAATACATTTTTTTAAAGTAATGCACAACTCCAATAAACTATGGGGCTGATTTATAACTTTTCCATCCAGCATACAGCTGGGCAGATGCCATTTGCATGGCACTACCGCCACTAGATGGCGCAGAGGACCATGAGAATTTCATATGCTTCTAAGTTCCATCTAGTGGCAGGAATGCCACGTGAATGGAGTGCCCAGCTATACACTGGCTGGAAGATTTATAAATCAACTCCTATGTGTTTATCTTTTTAACATCTGCCCGTAGTGCATTTTAAGGGCATTGATGAACTTATATAAACTTTCACCATCTGCTGAACATTAAAAAGACACCATAATATGCAAGTATTTATGATAAAATCAGAATGAGATTTATATGTCTCTGTACAAATAGGGGATCCATATTAAAGGAATGATATACCCTTAATCCCGATTCAGTAAAGCACTTGGGAAAAGCCCAGTAGAATTATCCATTCTTTCTTCTGTTACTTCATTAGATTCCGCACCGAGGGTAATGGATCCTTCTGTGCCAACCCGAAAACCAAATGGGTGCAGAAAAAAGTGAAGGAGCTGAGCGGAGGAACTGTCCAGCTACCGGCAGGCAAAAAGGGTAACAAAGGTGCCAAGGGAGGAAAACGAGGGAAAGCTGGAAGAAAGCAGAACAACAAGAACAAAAAGAAAACAAAAAATAACAAAAAGCTGGTAAGTAGTCAAATAAAATACATTCTCGGCCTCAGTGTGTGATGAGCAGAGGATAGAGCACTCCATGACATGGTGAAGAGGTCTCATTACAGTATGGGCCCTGCTCCTTACCTGGAGCCCGGCGTCATTGGTAAAGCTGAAGTCTAATCTATTTACATTTTGCTTTCTCTGATTTCTACTTTTTTGAAATTTTTGAATTAAACCTTTCAGTTTTTATTACATATCCTATTTTAGACACAGTAATGTCATCACTAGGTCTCCATGCTTCCCTATGCAGTGCAGGCAGATCATGGCTGATGGGAGGTTGCTGTACATAGCTTCCTGAAAACATCACAGCGCCCTGCCTGCAATCTGTGGTCTGGCTCTTGGTTATGCAAGTAGCATGACAGCCAAGCAACTAGCATTGTCAGAATGAGATGCCAGCAGTGGTGGTCTGGCTCTTGGTTATGCAAGTAGCATGACAGCCAAGCAACTAGCATTGTCAGAATGAGATGCCAGCAGTGGTGGTCTGGCTCTTGGTTATGCAAGTAGCATGACAGCCAAGCAACTAGCATTGTCAGAATGAGATGCCAGCAGTGGCAGCCTCAGTGTTTTTCAGGTTTCCTGTAACACACAAACTGTAGCTTGCTGCAAGGTGTATGATGTTGATTCTCTGCGTGAAGCCGGCCATACACTGCTCCAATTTGGTCCTACTGACACGGCCAAAATTTGCACTGTCAGCACCCCTCCATTAGACAAAATGTGACTTTTCTATTGACTTTTGTTGAAGGAGCTGCAGTGACTTGTCAGGTATTTGGAGGCTGGGGGTGCCGGCTGTCAGAACACAATAGCCCAGTGGTTGGATTTCCCCATCTACACAGGGATTCAGTGTTATGGCCTGCATGTGAATTTACATTCACTCGTTATGATTCATTTGTCCATTTTTTTTTGGCTTGTAGAAACTGATCTCTGATTGGCTATTATCTGCTACTGGATATAATTTCCTATAAATAAGCTTGATGTCTTATATTCATTGGATGATGTGATTTCTTCTGCAATCCTGTATGGAAATATAATAAACTGCTGAGCTGAATGTCATGTGACTCTGGTGGGGCAGTCAGTGTTTGTTTCAGGGATGTCATCTTTCAGGGATTTGAGTTAATTTGATAAAATCTCTAAAACTCTGCTCCCAGAAATAATTTGCCTTGAAGATCAGGCTGTGATTGCTAAATCTAAGAAATCCCTCAGTGGGGACATGTGGGGAAGTCCCTGTGACCGAGGCTCCAGCGCTGCATTTCACATGTAAATGATAGCATGATGTAATGGCCTGTTTATACACAGTGCAGTTTGGAACCGGCTCTACCAGCTTTCATCATCCACTCATCACTCCCAGAGTGCTAGACAAAAACGAGAACAGCGGAAAGTCAAGGAATGATTTTCTACACAGGACAAATATATACAGCGTGCAATTTAAACACTTGCTGCCCGGAGCAACTTCTTACTATTTGCACACACACATGATGAAATCTGACATTTTGGCTAGAAAACAGCTTCAGACCCCCAAACAATGATTTCTTTTCTGATAGCAGAGGTCCTGTAGAATAAAGAGAGGCTAGTTGCAATTTTTTTATGTTGCACTGTATTTTTATCAAAAATGTTTATCAAACCAGTATTTTTAGGATAAAATGCACTAAAATGAAATTTAATGCACAGAAACAGAATATAATACCCAATTTTTTGTTGAAATATGAAAGATGGGGTCAGTCGGGTAAATAGATATTAAATGTCAAGCCTTAAAATTGCGTTCACCCATGAAGCCGCAAGAGACTATAATATCCAAAATTTCCCATAAGAGACATTTTAAAAGCTTTTACCACTCATCAGTTTAGTGCTAACAGTGACTAATGGCTCTAGAATTATTGCTCTCACTCTGATATTCGTGGGGATATGTAACATGTGGGATGCAATTTTCGTTTTTGCATGTAGGCGCACTGACACGTTTGCGTATGTATGTGCGTGCACGTGGGGTGCGGGGAACTTTAAAAATGTTTTTTTTGCACTTTTAAATTTTTTTTATATGTTACTTTAATTTTTGTAAACATTTTTTTTTTAAACTAACTTTATTGCTATCACATAGGGGCTAACAGGTTCCCTATGAAATAGCAAATAGGGTGTGACAGGTCCTCTTTATGGAGGTATCAGGGGTCTTTTAAGACCCCTAATGTCACCTAGGGGCCCCAGAAAAGCTGACGAAGTAATACAGATCACTTCTTGGTCCAGTGATCGGAGGAGAAATCAGCTGCTAGAAGCTTGCTGATCTCTCTCCGATTGATGCAAGGATACCAACTGTGCCAGTCCCGGGCCCATAAGGGGGTCAGCGAAACCTGGGGTAGCCGGCGGCAGCAGCCGCAGCGGCGGTGGGGGGGAGCACACACCACTGATCGGTACAAGCGACCTGGCGGCTATATAGTGACCGGATCAGATGTACCTGAACAGCATTTGCCTGCTGTTTACAGTGATACTAAGGACACATCCGCAGCAGTAGCTGTGTTCTTGGTATAACCACTTCAGTGGCCACCCATATGTGTACAGCCACCCGCATGAAGTGGTTAAAGTGTATTTCCACTTTTGCAGTCAAAAGTTAGAAAACTCAAATATATATTTGTTATGTGTTCCCATTTACATAAAAAAAATCTTACCTTTTAGATATCTCTATTTAGCAGGCAATGCTAAATTTGCAACAGCAAACATCGACTGTCCTGATAGAAAGACATAGAACAGGCTGAGCGTCTCCTAATTGACATACACGGTCTTCAGGGCTGTATCCCTTTGTCAGGACAGACAGTCGTGAGCATACAGTTTACAAGGGATAATGAAGTACAGTACAGTACAGACAGGGTTAATTATAAAAAAAAAGCAATTCCACCATCTCCCAAACAGGGAGAACCAAGCAGTATTTTTTCAGTCCTGGAATTAGCAGAAAGAGCATCTAACAAAGGTAAGCTTTTTAAAGCAGATCTCCAGGAATTTGTTTTATTAACCCTTGCAGAGGGGCTACCCCCGCACTGCAAGGGTTAAGTGCTCGCTCGTGTCTAGATATACTAGCCCCAAAGCACTGAGCCAGGCAGCTGTCACAGCGCTTCCTCCAGTCTGTCCCCTCCTCCACAGCACATTAGTTCCTCAGCATCCTCATATCTATACACAGTGTATAGAGGCGATGATTTACTGGACCTTAGACACCGCCGCAGAGGGGGAGAGACATTCCAGGAACCAGTCTAAGAAGAACCCGGTTAGGAGCTTTGGGTGAATATATTTTTTTTTTTAACCTAGACACCAACGAGCAGTTAACCCTTGCTGCACGGCGGTAGACCCACTACAAGGGTTAATGAAAAAAATCCTGGAGTTCCTTTTGAAAGTTCTGCTTTGTGATTTAGAACATGTAACAAATATAAAGTAGGTGTTATCCCAATCTGTCTGCAAAAGTGGAAACACATTTCATACACTTATAGATACAAAACATCAAAACAGTGAGGATGGAGCAATCTCCTCTGCTGGCTCTTGTATTTGGATGTAGGAATTGAAGCACCAAAAGAATTAAAATAGTTCAGATGCAACTTTATTCCACTCAGGTTTTTCCACATTAAAGTTGTATCTGGAATATTTTATTTGGTGTGGTGCTTCAATCCCTACGTCTACTGTGTTCACTGTCAAGCCAAGGATACCCTGGAGACCCTTAGACCAGTGATAGCTGTATACTCATTAGCCAGATTACATTTATTCACATCACTTAACCACTATTGGAGGATAAAATCAGAATAACCACACAGGTCCACCACTCTCTTTTCACTTTCAAATATTCAGCTCTTGTACAGTAAACTCTCTGTTATCCGGAATTCAAATAACCAGAACTCTCATCTACCCAGAAAAAAAATCCCCAGTGTACTCACGGTTTTGCTGATCTGTGGCATAGATTATCCTGGAAACGATTGTGTGTCTATTTGTCTTAATTTGCTTTTGATTACTGCATTGCAATATTAATATGAAGTCAATACAGAGTTTATGTTATGGTATAGTATAGTATGAGATATGGCATAAGTTAGACCTATCTTTAATAGTAACTCTTGAGTAACCAGAAACTACATTCATATGGAATCTACCAATCCCTGTAGATGCCGGATAACGAGGAGTTTACTGTATTTAGGTTGCCGTAGCATCTGTGGCTATTAGAGTTCCTAAACAGTGACTGCATCTGATCTGATAAAGATTTTTCCATCTGGCTAAGTCAGTTTTTAATCCATTAAACCAGGTGGTGCTGACAGGGCCATCCACTGATCAAATTTTACCCATCTACGGCCAGCTTTAGGACCAAGTGCAGCTCCAATACAATGTACAAATGTTTTCAAAAAGGCTCTATGTACAAAGCTAACACACCAGGATAAGGATCCTTTATTTTCAAAAAAGGGCCAGTCTTTAATAGCCGAGTCGACTGAAATGTGAAACATGGGGTCACAAGGCTGACATAAAGATCCTTATCCTTGTGTTGAAGCTTTATAAATTGAGTCTATTGTAATACATATTTACACACCTATGTGCTTTGTATTCTGCAACCATTCTTTTATATTCTAGCAGCACTGATTGGATAGACGTTTGTGAATACAAGGCAGATTCTTTATGAGTCATTTCAATAAGGCTTATAGTTGTGTATAGAGGTTTTTTTGTATAGAGTGGGAAACCTTTAGAACCACTGTTAGAACTATAATGTCATCTGCATACCCAATAGTGGGGCGGACAGGAAGTAAGAGGAAATTCGACCTCCTCCCCAGCTCCCCGCGGACACCAAGGACGCCGGTCCCGGGCCCGTAGGAGGGACAACGGAGCCCGGGAAGCACAGCGGGGGCCCTCCTTCAGGACACAGAAGCGATCTGGCGACAGGTAAGTCGCCAGAATCGCTTCTGTTGTAAAGCCGACAGTCGGCTTTACAAGTTTAAACAGAGTGCCGGCGGTAATAGCCGCCGGGAGCCTGTTTAAACAGCCCCGATGCTGGCGACGTACACTGTACGTCGTCAGTCACGAAGGGGTTAATAAGGGTCATGGACAGCAATTACATTTTAACAGAAGTTGCAACTCTTCTTCATGGTCCCCTGGACAAGATGTGAGGTTAAGGGCTTGTTCACACTAGCCCATGTATTAGTTCTAGCATGCGGGCTAGTGTACTGGGTGAGGTCGGGTCCATAGAAAACAATTGCTTTCTATATGCCCCAGCGGTGACTGGCAATGTTCAGTTACTGAAAAACGTCAGTCATCGCTTATGGTGTGAATGGGCCCCGAACCTCCCTCCACCACCCCCAACAGGGTAAAAATATTATAGTAGTTCTAAAACTTTCTCACTCTACAGTAGTCAAACCAACAAGAGCAAATGCATTGAGAAATAATCTTAACAGGGCAACAGTCCTAGTTATGAAGAACAGTCCTAGGAAAAATGTAGGATGATATTGTAAAAATAGGCCTTACATGAGCGGCAGTCAATGATCACATGGTATAGAGGTGACGCAGGAGTAGGATCTGTGCTAGAAAATCATTCCAGAAAAGTCAACAGGATAGGAAAGGTGTCCCACCCACCCTTCATTCAATGTACAAAAATGGGGTCACATGCCTCAGCAGGTTTGCGGGTTAGGGGGTTGGGCTTGGTTACAAAATAGGGGGGTACATCTGGTGGTAGGATGCGTAGCATTTTTGGTGTCAGTTCTTCCACCAGGAGCTAAGTCCCTTTGCTAATCAGTAATTATTCATTTTGGAACTGTCCTCCACTAGGAGTGGTTGGGACTTTGGTGGATCATAGTCAAGGCTTTGGGTTTACGAACACCACTGTGACCAACAGTTTTCATGTTATTTATTGGGTGCAATTTAATTTGGTTATTGTGATTTCTGAGCTGCAAAAATAGTAATAAATATGCTACTTTGTAGCCCCTAAGTGCTGCAGCAAGGGTTAAAATATTTTATGCTGGTAGCACCTTGACATGTTTGACTGCTGCTCTCACACACAATCATTGGCTGGGTCTCCAGCGGTCCAAGGTGCCTCCATTTTACTCCAATCAAGAGCGCTGCCTAGGGAGCTAGAGCACTGTTGATTGGAGCAGTGTGCAGGAGGTGCTTTGACTTTAAATTATAGGGGTGCTGTGGCCAGTTAAAACCCATGCCATGCAGTCCAAGTATTTGTTTCTAAAGGGAGGGACGAATGAACAAATCTATCATCATGGCAACTCTGGACTTACTTTAATGGTTAGAGGTGTTTGTGAAGTGACGCATCATTCCTACCCGCAGCGACTCAATATCAAGATAATGACCTGCTACTTCTGAGAAAACAGATATGACAACAAATGTCTGTAGAACATCACACTTTAAACTGACTTTACACCTTTTTTTTTTTCAGCCTGTGACGTCCCCCTGGTTTCCGTCCACAGCAGCAACCACTTTTCAAACAGTCTCATAAGAGAATGACATGCAAGAATTTTCTGCACTAGGACACAGCTGGACTGCCCCCTACAGACTCTTCTCAAACAATGCCTCAGCTTTTACAAGACAGTTCTATATTTATGTGTTTTTATGTGTTTTTTTTATTAAGATAGTTTTTTATGTTTTTTATGTATTTATTTGATAACCGGATTTTATAAATGCAAAAAAAAATGGAATCATCATTAAGCTATAGTTTTAGTAACATAACAGTATTAATAGAAACAGATATTGGATGAATGAGTATCAATGCAAGTGGTGTTTTCTAGGTAAGGACTTGTTTTGTGATTTGGAGCAACATAACTAATGAGGATGAGCTCAGATTCAGACCAAACCCATTCCAAATGCGAGCTCCTCCAAACATGGAATTGCCATAGGCCAGCTGCCCAATCAGCTGTGGGCTGGGGCTTTTCCGGCACTTCCTTCTGTGTTCTGAGGAGTCCAGGTCCAGTCCAAACACATCATCCTTAATCACTAATATATCCAAAGGCAATTTTCTTCCATTTTGTATAGACCAGGCAAGAGTTAGAACTTTTGTTGGGTTTTTACTGCTACCTGTGTTTCTTGCTGGGGAGATTCGCCCTCTCTATTGTGTCCTGGTGTCCCCTGTCACTGGAACTGTATGCCTGGTGCGAAAATCCAAGATTTAGAGTTGTCATTACAACAGGAATATAGGGGCAATCCTCGACTGGGAACACTTCTTCTAGTGGCAACTGTTTAATAAGAGGATTTCCCTACTTGGGAGAGTTTTTCTTTCATGTCCTGTTGTGTCTCTGAGACAGGAAGTGAAGGAAGATCTCCACAATAACACACAGGCAGCAAAAAAAACCATGAGCGGGATTTTGCCATTCCTTGTACTACACAAAAATAAAACCGTTTGGCATGCCATATGCTTTAATTTAAAAAGTCCTCTGCTATCATCCCAACACTGTCCCCAGCATTCCTATCTCTATCAGTAATTCACCAAATTAGGCCATTCTTTCACCAAGAATGATGATTGATTTAGATTGTCTTCACCGATGTCACAGACTCACTGGTACACAGTGACTTTTATCCACCATTCACTAGAGAATGCCATAAAGAACATGCACAGTGAATGGATCATTCCCCTTTTTGTTGAAAAGTGCTTTTGCTTTTTAGCTATTATTATTTAGACATAATTTTTTGTAAGACTTAAACCTTACATGGCACTGTTATTAAGAAAGATACTCAAATCAATTGCATGATTTCTACAAAACAGGCCGTGTATGAAGGACTTGCCCTGACATAAAATGCTCAGTCATCCTGTCTGTTTACTCCGTTCCCATGTGGGACAAAATTTATTTGCGTTTGTTTTTATTTGTGGTTTGATGCCCTTCTGCGATTGTGATGTTTAGTTGGTTTTAGTTTGTCTGCGAGCTTTACCAGACATTTTGCATAATGCACTTTTCATAGACAATGTTGGTTCTGTTTTTGCACAATAAACTTCTTTGTTTTAAAAATGCCACGTGTTCCTTACTCATACCTGAATAAAATGGAGCCTTATTGATAAAAGTAAGACAACATTTCAGGCAGATTTTCAATATTTTTCCTAGACATTTATAAAACTAGAAATTGCTGGATAGGAAAGTAGAAAATCAGGAAAATAGAAACTCGCAAAACCACAAAAATAAAAATAAAGAAAAAACGGTTCTAACTTGAAAAATAATCCATCAATCTGGAACGTAGAAGAAAGGACCAGTATTACATGTGCACCACTTCTATGGTGCTGTAGTCAGGACCGGATTTACTCTCCCTGTTGCCCCAAGGCCAGGTTCCTCAATGCACCCCCTTCCCAAATTTCTTTTTTACTTGTTTTTTTTTGTTTTTTTAAACTTTATCACTTTTTAATTTTTTACTTTTTTAAAATTTTTATTTCTCTTGCCATCTTTCACTTTTTGTATATACATTTTTATCTTATTATAATTTTTTTATAATTATTTTCTTATTTTTTTAAAAAAAATTCTTATTTTTTACTTTTTATTTACTT